AAATATAACTCAACCCAGTACATGTGTAGCTGGTAAGTACATCAGTGGTTCTCCCTGGGATGCTGGATTTCCTTTTATCTCATGAATTTCACAGTAACACATTTACATTCATGAAATAAATCTTGAAGGCCACAACTGTATTTTTATCTCATTACAGTTACTCTTAGCATAACAGAATAGTACAAGAAAATAGTATTACACAGTGAGCTTTCTGACAATATGATAAGCTAAAATCTTTGATTAGTGCTTTTAGTTACACACATCATGAAGGCTGAAGAACATACCATGAAAGCTAAGACTTGTCCTTGCCTGCTTAATTTCACTTCTTAATGAGAATATGAGCATGATGACACTTAACCTGGAAAGCAGGCATGTGAAGTACACAGAAAAAGGAGATGGAGAGAAGTTTCTCCCTCAGAGGGGGGCAGCAGCTCCACTCCACTCCTCTGTATGACAGGAATCCCTCAATTATAGGCAAACACTTTGATCCCCAACAAAAGGAGAACACACAACTATTGCATTTTACTGGTAGAAATTAACTGATATGCTATAAATATTACTGAGATATTCAGAAAGCATAAAGGTATTCTGGAAGAGGTATCCTCCAAACTCAAAACCATTGCAGTCTATTCCTATTTAGTCTATTAATGTTCTAAATCATGAAAACATATCTATCTTTTAAACAATAAGACTGAAAAACTGCTGCATCATTGCAAGCAACACATTATTTTATAGAGGAGAAAGAAAACAATAATGCAATTAACAGTGGAATTTACATTGCAGCTTTTATATTTCAAAAGTGTTTATTCAGATTTATAGTATTTCAGGAAGGTAAATGGAAACGACTACCCCTTTGTATGCCCCCAACGTATTTGGAAAGCAAATATATGAAGGTAGCCAATGAAAACAGTAAAGAGGACAGAAGAAGATGATCTAAAAATCTCCTTTCACCTGGCAGCTAACGAATCCTAAAATGCAGGTTGCTTATCATTGACAAGCAATAGATGCTAATTCATCAACTCAGATTTTTTTTTTTTTTTAAATAACCTGTAAGGCTGTCAGATCTGCCTAATTTTTAAGTTTGAATTGAGATTTGGGCCACATCTTAACTGAACATGTACAGTTATCTTCAGGCTTGGCATTCGACCAGGTGTACTTTGCCAGCTGAACTCAACAAAAGCTGTTGTTTTCTAACTCTATTTCACCATAAATGACAAAGACAAATGGTCACATTACCTCAAGAGTTCCTTTGGCAGAGTACGCTGCATACGAGTACAGGAGGTCTCGAGCATGAAGCTTTTTGGTCTCTCTGTTGCACTGTTGTCCACTAGGATAAAAGCATTCACCGCTGTTTTTCAAAGTTACTGTGTTTGAAGAGGAGCCCGGTAAGTCAAGCAAAACAGAGTAATTTGCTAGCTGAACATCTTCAAGGCCATGAGAAGTCCACTGAGCCAGAATGTTCATTGCAACATCTGTATCTTCTTCTCTAGGGAACTGTAATAAATCTCTAGGGAAAAAAGAAAACACAACCATTTCTGTTTATTCTCCCTCCAAAACACTTGTACCTTATCAACAAGCAGCAGTCCATAATTTTGTGTGAAATATGGGATCCATAATAGATCAAACACGCAAAAAATTGCCCTTTGTTTTCTTTGCAAATAATTCCTTACCAGTTATGAGATAAAACAAATAAGCGAGGCAAAACCCTATTTTTTGGGAATAAAAAGGAGGAATAAGTGTTTCTAGGAAAAGTATCCAACTGAAATGTACAGAATCCCACAGAAATTATCACAGTAATTGCTTCAAAATTAATCTCTGTGATGCTGATCAGGTTTCTGATATTGCATCAATTTAACCAACCATTTAGTGTAAAAGAATGTAATCTGAAGTAATATTTCAGAGACTTCAGAGAGGGAGTGATGCTGAAAATTAGTTATAATTACATGTTTGGCTTAAATCCATCAAGCATAACAAAAATTTGCTGAGTAGAATGGAACTGTTTCCCCAAATACTATCTTTTTTGTCAGGAAGTTTTCCTCAGACTTCGTACCTATAAAGGATTACCTGAGCCAACAGCTTGGCAAGCAGCACAGAAGAGGGGCCTGGGAATTATTTTCGCGCTATCTACCCCACAGGCCAGCAGACACTTCAGATGGCTTGGTGTGGGCTTATATCACTTGGTTTGTATCACTGTTCGACATCTGCGACCAGACTGGCTCCGCAATGAACGCAAGGACAGCACTGAAAAACCACCCTTCCCTCTCCCCGCAGCAAACACAGTAAGATCTCAAGCGTAGAGAGCATATAGAGGATAACTGTAGAGGAAGGACATGCTGCAGGGACACATGAAAGGTCTCTGCTTACTTATATGCCTGTACTGCATGAGCGAAAAACAGCATTATTCAAATATTCAAATCAAAAGCACTATTGAAATACAGAGCAAAAAGCTTACAGAGCTATATGCTGAATCAAAAGGATCAAAAAGGTATTAATTTCCAAGCACAGAGATACAGACACTTGCTGAAACTCTCATTCACAAACTTCTCTTCACAGAAAAGACCAATTTTCTAAAGATATTCATTCGCCTTAGGGTCCCTAATGGAACTTGAAAAAATACCTTGGCCATCTCACACGCATCAGAAGCGGTGGCTAAATAACGTATGGTTTAAAAACCTTTATTGCAACGGATAGGTATTTGCGAATCCCACCAAGAGAATATCTGCCTTTATGAGCACCGCAGCGCTTTTAAGAATTAAGCTGCAAGTTACACCAAACTGAACATATTGATCCTACTTCCAGAGCGGTCTGCGCTAACTCCAAGGAGAACACCACAAAAGGTAAATCTACGGCAGAAAGAAAGCACAGACTCCCTTCCCCATTCCCAACCACATTAGTGTATAATTTAACAGACCATTAAAAAGAGAAAGTAAAAAGTGAAGCTGTAACATTTTCTATTATAGCCTGGAAAAAGCTCAGAGAAGGCCTACTGGCATTCAAACATCTAATGCCTATCACATTTATAGGGATGAAATAAATATTCTAACATCCAATAGGTTTTAAAAAAATGCAAAAATGCTCTAAAGAGAAAAGTTGCATCATAGTCTGCATTACAATAGCACAGTAACTAGCGTACAAAGTGCAAAATCTTTACAAGAACACTGAACTTATGTTACAGATTTCAGAGCTTCTGAAGGAGGAATAATTGTCAAAAAAAGATTAAATCTGAAGAACGACCTAAGTTATCTAAAGTAAGTCTTCAAGCAGCCTGCACAAAATGGACAAGTTAATCCAATCTCTAGCACATTACAAGTCTCCAATTTCATCTTCTAGGCCCACTACTGCAATGACATAATCTTGGACAATACAGAAATACAGAAAGTTGTTTGATTAACACAGTCCTTAGTAGAACATTCACTTTTCCCACAGGCAATAGAAACATTAATAAATAATTGCAAGAAACTTATCCCATACCAATAATATTGTGGCACATTTCAATGAGTATTCAGTCTCAATAAAAGGAATTAATAAAAGGAGAAGATACAATAATCAAATTGCTCCCTCAGTAAGTTGCTTTCCACTCCCTAATCAAATAAGCATGCCTTTGAACATTCTGTGACAGCATATCTAATTAAGTCAAAGAAATGAACATACTTACTATTTACTCCATAATTTTTGTACAGGATGTTAAAATCAAATTGTAAATTGTGACATACATTTTATTAAAATAACTCAGCAGGTAGACTTCTTTGATGAGTTATGAATAACACAACACTAACATTTTTTTCACAATTCCTTACAATGACTGAGCTACTTATCTTTGATACAAATTGCTGACTGCATGGACTTAAAGGCAGAGATCAATTTGTCTCATTATTTTTATTACATACTACTTGGATAAGAAGAACAATATGTAAAAACAGTATTTCCCAAAACAGAGCAAATTCACAAAACTTTAATGTTTGTTTGACAACCTTTCCTGGCTGCTAAAGGAAAAAAAAACAGCACTTTGCATGCACTTTGGTAGTCATTCTCTACACCGTTACCAATGTCAGTGAATTCACTTCTTAAAACTGCCAAGGCATTAAGATTCATGGTATTAAGATCCAAGCAGCTGAAGAAACCCTCAGGATGATTATGTTTCTCACTTTTGCCAGCTGTTGCATACTTGGTAGGAATCAATAGCCATGTGATTGCCAATTTCCATTCCCAGTACTGCTTTTAATAACGTCAGCCAAATTTTTTATTCCCTTACATTAAAATGATATGTTATTCAGCTACTTGTTTGTGGATATTCCCATTGATTGAAGCCAAAGTTAATGGTCAGATCTCAGTTACTGTAAATCTGCATGATTTATTGAAGTGGGGCAACCAAGGACTTAAGATTGATTGACCTCAAGTTAGAATCAACATTAATAAAAGTAACAGTAACTGTCAAAATAATATTGTGCCTTTATCTGATGATCTCAAAGAGCTTTCAGTAAAATACTTTCTATTACTTTCTAACAGGCCACAAGCTTGTTTCAACGTATATTCTGCTCCACCTCAAATGTTCGGTTTCTGAGCTGAAAAAAAGACAAAATTGTGCTTAAAACTTAGAAAGCATATACTTTTCCATTTAGATAGAGCTTTCCCACTTCAATAACATGAAAAGATCAATAAATTTTTTTATGACAACACATGATTATACTTCCTGTGTAAACAAGATTATTTTATTGCCTGACCTGCTGACAGCTCCTTATGAGATGTTCCCATTAAACTGATACAAAAAAAAAAGCAAGCCTAGAACTGCAGTAAGATTCTATAGAATTGTTCTTACAAATCTACAAGAAGAAAATTTTTCCTCTAATATAAAAAACTTTGAAAGAAGATTCTTTTTATTAAAGATTAAATACCTATAACTCAATGAGAGTGGGAAATGCCCTAAACTTACTTGCCTATTAAAAAAAAAAAGCCAGATTTCAGTTTTACAGAGTTAGAAGTAAATCTAATTTCCATTTTCCCAATTTTTGACTGTTAGTTTCTACTTTTTTCTTCCAGTTCACTGAAACTGTTGATAAAGCAATTAGTGAGATTTTAAGGAAGAACTAAGAACACATACAATTTTAGAATTTTGATTTGCCAATTTTTCAGCCAGGAAGCTGTTTTTCAAACTTTGTGGGTCACAATAAATTCACCAATCAATTTTTTGCATAAAGCTTCTGTGCCAGATGAAAGAGTTATCTTGCCTAACACGCTCTTTCCAATAGTATCTGGTGGCAGATGCTCAGAGTGCAAGAAATGCGTCATGCAGAGTTATCATATTTTTAGGTTTCCGTGCATACGCTTTTTTTTCTACCCACAAACTTTGTCCAGGCAGAATTTGAAAAATGTTTACATATATTGAGGATTTCAGATCCCGTATCAGCCCATGAAGGGCTGAGATGCTACCGCTGAGGAAGTGCTCAACATGCCCACAGCACTTGCACAAACCAACGATTTGGATCCATCACATAGAGTGTGTACAGACAGTTAACTAAATGCTTCCATGAAACATAATCTGCCGTAGCCACATCTGCTTGCATTTTAACTACATGTCCCTGTTATTTAGGCTGCTTTACTGGGTGGTCTCCAACCCCACCAATCGGGTTTCCCATGAACTGGGACTGCCTGCCAGAAATTTGCAGGTTTCCAAAGCAAAACATAAAAAAAAGCATGATTTATGATAGTTTTTATTTTCCACGGACACAGAATAAATATATTCTACAGAACTACAAAAAATTCACAGCATCAGATAATGGAACAGTGACTCTAGATTCAGTCGTGCTGTCCTTTAATAGAAAAATGCTTTTCATTTATTTTAACATATTGTGTGCTTTTGGGTATTTTTGAAATAAATGCAAGTGACTCAAGTCTTCTATACAGAAAATGATTCAGTGTGCAGGCAAAAAACGCTTTGAAACAAAACTCCATAACATGTTTATATCACGTTGACATCCACCCGCGTATTAGACTGCTGCAGTGGTAACTGTCCCCAGGCACCCTGCCCTGTCGCGCTGAAAGTGCGTGCACAAGTCACAGGCCAAACCTCCTGTTTTTCTGAGTTCTTTGTCAGTCTGTTCCCACTTGGGCTATTTTATTCAGGTTTTTTTCTCACTACAGGACTTAAGAATATTACTGCTGTCTACCATATTAGACAGTCAAATCTGCTTCAAATGTTTTAAATATAATTAACGGGATAGTCCAAAATCTTGCCTGCCAACATCAGGATGCCAGCCAACCTAGCATGTCAGGGCAGATGGCGGAAGGCACTGAAAAATGACTGTGATGTTTCCACTCTGTCTTCCTAAAGTTTATTGAAAAACAAGTAATTATGTGTTCCAGCACACTAAACTCTGCTAAGTTAGAAATCTGCCATAAGTGAGCTTTCCAAAGCTTTCTAAGGCCTTTGCTTGGCAATTATGCTGACACCTAGCCAGCACCCAGATCTCCCAAATGGTTCAGAACCTGAGAACGGCCAACCTAGATTCA